ATCACTTGGTTTCAGGCTTTGGACTTTGCCCCGGATCTCCCCCCTGGACTCTTTGGATTTGTTTGCCTTGGCCACGCCCCCCTGTCTGTCAACCCTCCTAATCCTCATAGTCTACTCCCTGTTGTCCTTCTCCAATTACTTCCGGATTATACCATCTGCACAGGGTCCTGAACTACGCTTCACGGGAGCCTGGACCGGCTCCCATTATACTTCCTGGCTATCGGTCTTTACATTGATCATTATTATTTCAAATGGGCCAACCACCTCCCTCACTACTCACACTGTCTCTCCACATTCATTTCTCCATTACACAGTGACTTATCACAAACACAATGACATGGAATCAGTAAAGGAGATGTACAGAAAGCCTCCAGTTTTAAACATGGGAGGGTCATGTGTTGGTTTATCAGTGGGCACCTGTGAGAGTTGTACTGTACTCTCACTTAAAACATGGAAAGATTTCTTAAATATGCTTTTTTCTGTCAGTTTCCTTCCTTGGTTTTGTGGGATTATAGAGACCATCCAGCCAGACTGCAGCTTTTGGGACACAGAGATGCAAGGGCTGGGTGAGTGGCATGGGCAATAGAGTGTGCAAGTGGCATGAGGGGTGCTACTCTGTCTCAGGTGGATCTGGTCAGATGGCACCCGACGCCTTCAAGAAAGCATGTCTTATTTTGACTTTTTCCACCCTCCCTTAGGAGATCCCTGCATTGCAGAGCTCATTGTTGCAGTAGGGATATCAGCTCGAGTGACTTTCATCACCATTCATCTCTGCTCAAGCATCTGTTGTGCACTGGGTTCTCTATTTTCTTTCTGAGCTGTTTACTCTGTCTAAAGCTGAGGAGCGCTGCCTGTTTTCCCAAATGTTCCTGAGAATACACTATTGATTTTCCTCACATTAATTTTGGAAAATGCAAATTAACACAAAATTAAAATTAAATGTCAGTACGATGTATTTTTATGCAGGAAATACAAATAAACACCTGGTACGCAAACCTTCAGCGTTTTGCATCATGTCTGCAGATCCAAAAAGGCTTCATAGTAAAGCGCTGGCTGCACGTTACAATGCAGGTAGCAGCCACTCAACATCAGCATATCCTACACGCAGCAGAACAGTGGGACGGGACAGGATCATCAAGCTTAATCCAAGTGAGCACAGAGGATAATCAGCAGGGCCATCTCTAAAACTGTGTGCCGCTGTTGTGTTGCTGAGTGAAAATCTCGGGTGATATTGGCATGCTGTGTGTGTAGTTAACAGTTTGTGTGCTATCGTGTATGGAATGTAAAGTCTCCACCTGCAGACCAGTGTCTTTAAGCTGCGTAGACTTTCTTGTTTCCCATGCTATTCATTTTGCTCATGTGCATGCCCTTTGCTGTTTATGTTAAAGCTGACACTTGACATTTTATTTTATGTCTTATTATCAACTTGGCCTAAGCGAGTAATTCAGGTAAACAGTTTGAGTCCAACAGCTCCAAGGACAAGGTAATTGAGTGAGGGTTCCATGTGTCACCATCCTCCCTAAAAAGCAAACAAGGCAGGCACTATGGGAGAGAAAAAAATATATAAATAAATACGTGTCTAGGAGGCCTGAGGAGACACTGGCTTTTCTCAGTGAAAAATCTCTGTGAATATTTTTCAGGAAACAGTTTATTAAGGTTAAGTTGGAAGAAAGTTATGTGTAGAACGTTGCTTCTGTGGGGAACTGTAGCGGTTTTCAATAGATAAGAATACAGTACAGGGCTCACCCCACTGATTTGCTCTAGACTTCTCCATCTATAATAGCCTGGAAGCAGACATTGCAATTAGAATTTTAAATGTGCGCCTGTAAAGCCTTTAGAACACAACAGCTCCTTTTTGATGACAAGCATTTTTCTGGACTGCAGAAACTCATTAGGGCAAACATGAAGAGCAGTTCCTACTGTTTCTCCACCCTCAACATTGGCACAAAGAGGCACAGCGTTCCCACATGCTCCACATTTCATCATCTGGACAGGTGTGTGAAATCTCAGAGACAAATGGAAGGCTGTATGGAAAGAGAAATGTGATTGATTTAAAAAAAAATAGAATTTCAGGCTCACTTTTAGACACCTTCAGACTGTACAAAATATGACATGACTTTTCCATGAGCACTCAATTCCTGTGAAAGTAATGGTGTTTACGTTGTACAGTATGACCAATCAACACCATGCCTACCAAGCAGAGATTAAACATACCTGCTGCTGGAGCTGTCCTCCCTGGAGACTCTATCTCCGGGGATTTCTACCCAGCTGCTGATGGACTGCATGTCCTAAAGCAGGGCTGATGAACACCGCTAATATAAGACTGACAAGCATGGTACAGACTCTTTGTTTCACTGACAGGTGTTGGCCAGCCTACAATAACTCTGCCACACTGTTAACGGAGTTGTTATGTGATACAGAAAAAATAACTAGCCCTGACTGATGTGTGTTGTGTCATCTGTGTCCTTGCATCAAATGTGCATCTGCCAGCAGCCATATCACTCTGCAGCTCACAACTGGCAACCCACTGAAGCTAAGCAGGTGTGAGCCTGGTCAGTACCTGGATGAGAGACATCCTGGGAAAAACTAAGGTTGCTGCTGGAAAATATGTAAGTGTGACTAGCAGGGGGCGCTCACCCTGCAGTCCATGTGGGTCCTAATGCCCCAGTATAGTGATGGGGGCACTATACTGTAAACAGGCGCCGTCCTTTGGATGAGACATAAAACCGAGGTCCTGACTCTCTGTGGTCATTAAAAATCCCAGGGCATTTCTCCAAAAGAGTAGGGGTGTAACCCTGGCATCCTGGCCAAATTTCCCATTGGCCCTTAACAATCATGGCCTCTTAATAATCCCCGTCTATGAATTGGCTTCATTACTCTGCTCTCCTCCCCACTGATAGCTGATGTGTGGTGAGCATTCTGGTGCACTATGGCTGCCGTCCAGGTGGGGCTGCACATTGATGGTGGTGGAGAGGAGTCCCCATTACCTGTAAAGCGCTTTGAGTGGAGTGTCCAGAAAAGCGCTATATAAGTGTAAGCAAGTATTATTATTATTATCTCTGTAATTATGTA